AGAAAATTTACATACTAACACAATTTTGGGGTTTCGTGAGTTCAAATAAGTTTGAGAGAACACATCTCAAATATATTTGATTTGGATTAAAAAATGCTTACATTCAATCTAAGTGTCATGCAAATGAAATTTTGTAAAATAAAATATATTTATTTATATGGGAGATATATCACTTGATTTTTAATATTTCTCTTGTATATTATAAAAAGTTTAAGATTTTTATTTTCAAATATTCTAATTCCGATGCGGGCCAAAAATTTAGTTAATTAATATGTTACCAGCTTGTTAGTGTCTTTGAGAGCGTCGAGCCGAGATTTCCACTGATTCTTGTTCTTGATTTCCACAACAAAGGGACTGTTGACTTTGTAAGGAGAAATCTCTGGCTCGAAGCGAGGTGCCCATGGCTTCCTGGAATGGATATCGGTTACTGGAAATTTCTGGTCTGGCGAAGAAACGTTAGCACCCATTGTCTCTCTCAACGCAGAAAGAAGCAAACAGATTTGAGTAGAATTGCTCTCTTACTTTGTGCATAAGGCGAGAGTAAGTATCAGCTTTTATAACGTCAGATACTCTTGGGTGGACCTAGTAGCCGTAAATGTAACCAATGTACTACGTACATTTTCAATGGGCTCTAAGTCGTATGGAAATTACATTTTCAGTGTACCCATTTTAATTTAACTTTTAAGAGTTGTCTGATGTCAGTTCTTGAAGATTCCAAAGTTATAATCGCTTTAAATTGTTGTTGTTTACACTTTACACTATGTAAATCGCATGTATCAAGGGTTCTGTTATAATTTTTTGGAAAAATTATTGGTAGCTACACAAACTATGGGGCATCACATGACTATGGGGCATCATATGGCTACACATCTAGACTATAATAATATATATTTAGCTATAAAAATATGTATAATACATAGCGACATACATGAACTATATGACATTACATAGTTACACATCTGAAATAAAATAATGTGTTTTTACTATACGAACAAAATTATAATGCATAGTAAATTACAAAAATAGAAAAAAATCATGTTAAAAACAATATTTATATTAATTTTGTCAAGATTTTTATCTAGCCGTGATAAAAACCGTTTTGATAAAAATAAGCTAGATAATTTTTAAACTTAACCAGAGCCCAAATTTTTTAATCCGATCAAAATTTCAAAACATGAATCATACTGAAAAGCAAAATCCACATTTAAAACAAACATATTTGATGAATTAATCTATTTTCACCAAAACTAACATAATTTTCAACCAAGCTATTAAAATGATCTCAAACCATTTTTAAGTGAAAACTAGCTCTTTTCAGCCATTGTATTAAAAACAAAACTAGATGATGGACCATAATTTTTTTGGGTCATTAGATCATTGGTTGAATTGGTCATGGAGACC